TAGACGTCTGCTGCAGCGTGGACTGCGCTCAAGGGACTCCTTTATACAGGATCCCCCTCACGCTAAACCATCGCCGCCTGCGGCTGCAATGGGCCAACCAGCATAGGGACTGGCGTGCTGATTGGCAGCGTGTCGTGATTTCTGACGAATCCCGCTTTAATTTGTAGTACCATGATGGCCGCATTCGTGTCAGACGCTATGCCGGTGAACGCCACCTTCCGGATTGCGTTATCGAACGCCACAGTGGACGAACACCCGGAGTTATGGTCTGGGGTGCCATAGCATATCATGGACGATCTCAATTGCTACGAATTGTGGGTAATCTGAACAGCAGCCGGCTCATCAGTGAAGTTCTACAGCCCCAAGCTGTTCCCTTCCTTCAAGCCTTGCCAGGTGCTGTATTTCAACAGGACAATGCCCATCCTCATATTGCTAGGACTGTGCAATCCTTCCTTGCATCGCGGCAGGGACAGCTTCTTCCTTGGCCTGCGTATTCCCCGGATATATCGCTGATTGAACATATGTAGGATTTCGCTGGTCGGTGTCTCATTCGTGATCATCGTCCTGTTGCCTCAACTGACGAACTTTGGGTACGCATACAAACAATATGAAATGCTCTTCCTCAGGCAGACATTCAAAATTTGTTTGACTTCATAGCACGTCGGGTAACAGCACTTATTGCTGCGCGTGGTGGTTACACAAAATACTGATTTTGATCTCTTGTTATTGTTTGTTTGCTTTGAAAATTTAATCAGTTATTTGTATTACTACTAGTCAGCTGTGTATTAAATTTCATTTAATTATGATGATTCCTTCATGGTGTTGTAATTTTCCCAAACATGAGTTCATGTATACAATCGAAAATGTTTTTAAGAAAAATTGTTTCTGTATGCAAAAAATAATAAATAAATAAAAAATATGAAAACGTCTATGTGTGAAAACTAATTAAACTTAAATAAATTTATTGAAACGCTATAAATCCTACTAGTAGCATTTAGCAATCCTTGCACGTTAATATACATACGATAAAATAAATTTTCAAATTTCATCAAAAATGTACTTTTTTTTTCTTCAACGTATATAAATACATCTCCATTGTTTTTTTCGAATTTTACGTAATACAGTACTTAATATTTATAATGAAAGAAAATATATTATAAATATGCAGTCCGGAGTTGATTAATTTAGCAGTTGAATTTGCTTAAAAATGTAATGACATTTTTTTTTGTATATTAATAATGCATTAGTATTACAAAATAGTACCTATTTATACGACTTAGATACGTTGTATTATGTAATGTTGATAAGAGAAAACACGAAAGAGATTTTAAAACTCCAATTTGTTGCACCCTTTGCTATATTTCTACAATATACGGAAATAATACTTAGATTTAAGAGTTTAAACAATCATGTGTACCTTTTAATGTATATCATTAATGAAGTAATCAAAAAGATTAAAATTATCAATGTGTGGCACTTACCGCCTGGTGTTGTAGATGTCTCAGCTAAATTAAAAAAAGTAAAATATAAAAAAAGGCAACATTTTTTGCAAAAATAAGGAAAATTAATTTTTTTAGAAGTATTCTATTTTCTACACAGTTTTTCACTTAATTGTTATTAATAAAAAAAATGAAACAAAGGAATTATTAAAATGAAATTCGTTTTTTTCTTTATTGATAATAGTAAAACATTAAGTTTACAATAAACATTCATTATCTAGGAAATATGGCCCTCATAGTTTGCTCAGGAGATAGGTCCAAAGATTGGACCCCTTGATGGTAATCGATTTTTTGCGTATCCTGTTGGATCCTGTTTCTCTGATTGCCGCTACCCCCCCCCCTTATTTTGGGGGCTGGAAATCCGAAACTGTTAAATGAAAGGTATGTATATTCAGAGAAAATACATTTTAAGTCTGATTTCGTAACTTTAAATATCGTCTAAACTAGTTATTTAACATATTAAGTCATTCCCTCAATCCATTAAAATGAATTTCTAGAAAGTGAAGATCCAATTTCTGGATCAAAAATTATTCAGGGAGGTCCATTTTTTATTTTGTGCACTGTAAAATTTTAATAATCATGATTCTTTTTTTTATAACTCAATGGTAAGGATATCTAAATGATGACTAATGGCATTACTTTTTAAATAAAAAAAATGTATTTTAATTTTTAAAAAAATCATTTTGTAAACGAAAAAGTACATTTCAGCATTTACCTGGAGTAGTAAATTCATCTCTTAATTCTGAAAATAATAAAAATCTCTTTTTAATAATAAATAATGAAAATAATAATAATAACTCCGATCAAGCAAGTCACCCGATCTTTAGTCACTTTTATTTTTCTTTAATGTATCAGACATACAGAAAAAATAGTTGGAATACATTATCAGTATGCAGCTGCTTTCAATTTTAAATATTTGAATGTAACTATATTCAATGTTGAGTAGTTTTCGATCATAAATTTCAAATTTATTAATTAAGTTTACCAAAGGCATTCCAAGAACTGGTGTAAATTATTAGAAAATCTCAAAAAATAAATATCTGTCACATTTCTCTTTCATGAAAGTTTTAAGGTGTCTGCTCTTAATAAATTTAATAATTTCAACAAAATTATCAATTTTTTCGCTTATTTTTCAAATAAAGCCTTTTTTAAATTTACAAAGATGTGTTAGTTTTCATAGAGCTAAATTAAGGAAGTTTAATAAAAAAAAAAATGCATACTATGATCCTGACCGTCAACGATAAGAAATTACAAGTTAGCAAACTCGTAAGAGTCCTGTAATANATATATATATATATATATTTATTAAATTTTTTTTTCATTTTTATTTATAATTTATATTATTTATATTTGATATCTATATTTACTTACCAACGATATCTGAAAAATGAATCAGCAATAAGTTTATTTATTTTACGAAATATATATATATTTTTGCTAAAATAATTTATCAATTTAAATTATGTATATAATATTTTGCTTGTTTTTAAAGAATAATAAAGTTTAATCAAGCAATAAAATATAATTCGTAAGATATTTTATTTACCTTTATAAATTTCTGAAAATATCAATAAAGAACGGATTATAAATAAATAATATTCATGTACAAAGAGAGAGGGCAAGTAATATACAACAAAAAGGAACACCAAAGTATTAGATTAAATAATGAAATCAATGTCGTTACATTTATTCAGATTTTTTCTTTCGTGTTTCATGCAAAGAAACTTTTTCTAGAAAGAAATATATACGACAAAGTACACAAAGGTTTGAGCTGTTAAGTAAATTACATTGTTAAAAGGGATAAGTCTTAATGAAAGAATAATCTGTCTTTTTTTTCTTATGTAAAATCAGCAAATTTTAGAAATAAGGTAATGAGCATGAAATTGCATAACTTGTCTTGCTTAGACTTTAATATTTTAAACAAAATCAAAATTTCTTTTAAAAAGCTTGTAAAATACGAAAAAAAAAGTAATTTTTTTAATATTATGTTTAATATTATGGAATAGTTTCTTTGTTACTCAATTTATTTTGAACCACGTTATTACCATTTTCAGTGCAATGAAACTTTTCTTGTAAAACCAAAAAGAGTTTAAGTACATTATAAAGATAAAAATCTTCATGATAACGAATAAATTTAACTTGATATTTACCGTTTCCAACATCTGTAAAAAATTTAACTTGTTAAAAAAAATTCCATAACAAAAACATACAATAATGTGTGCATATTACACTATTTGCTAACTTGAAATATAAATTAGAGCTAAATAATAAAAATACTTCTAAAATTGTTAAAAATGCCTATTTGCAAATCTGAAAACATCCATAGGATTCTTACGATAGAGCTAATAGCTGATCACGAATTATAAGTTTCTCACAATAAACTGAACATGTAAAACAAATTATATATAGGGTATAACACTAAATATAGATAATTCCTTATTGATTTTCGCTTTCAAGTGATAAAATTTTTTAATATTATGCAGATATACCTTAACTATTTATAGCAATAATTATTTTTATTCTTTTCGAAAACTAAAAAGAATTGAGAAAATCTGTTCTAAAACCAGACAACCACTAAGAGAAGACCAAAATTAATTTTAAACATTACTTTTAATTCAAAACAGGGGTACTAAAAATTTCCAGTTCTATGTTGTTAATCTATGACCTTTACCATGATAAATAAATGGTCAACTTAACACAGAATTAATATACATTTTACAGGGAAATAGTATACATTGTTTTAAGATTAAATATTTTTTTTATTTTATACAAAGCATATTAATATTTTCGTCAAAGATTAAAAACTATAATATTTATTAAATAAAAAGTACTAATTATATTATTATGAAATTATAATTATTGAAAAATACATTCGATGGAAAAAAAGACATCCTTTAAGTTTTTTTAAAGTTGTAAAGTTTTGCTCCTTAAGTATTCTTTTCATTTCAGTTTATATTAATTTGGTTGCTTTGGTTTAGAATATGTTATATAGATTTTTTCATTTTACCACTATGTCTCGAATATAAAATAATTGACCTTAAGATATTTATGCAACAAACACAATTTAGCTAAAAGAAAAATTTTAAGACTTACTTCCAATAAAGTCTAAAATGTTAAATAACAAAATTAATAGATGTAAAATGACATATTATTATTAAAAAATACAGTAAGTAATATAAATAACAATGTATGTCTATCTGCGCGTGTATGGGAAATATGTATAAACATAACATAATTATCGAAATTCAGTTCAACTCATGATATTTCATTGTTTAAAGGAGCATTATTACTAAAATTAAATTTAAAATAAAGCAGCGGTAAAATATTTTTCTTCATTTATTCAACTTGGATTTTCATTCCAAACTTCTATTAGAAAGAATTTCACTATAATATGTGTGATTATTTGCTCCCAAATAGCAATTAATTGTAAGTCTAACTTTTGTAAAGTTATATCTGGCAACGGTGAGTAAAATCAGTTAATTCAAGAAAACGGCTTTTGACGTCCTTCTAAGAAATGGGATTTTTGTTTGTTCGAAACAACTTTTTTATTAGCAGCGATCAGGCATACACTGTAGGTTGTAGTTTTTACAAAAAAATAGTTTAAAGCAATTTTTTTTTCAAAGGAAATGATTATGGCAAATTTTGCACTAAATTTAAGACGTTTATTTTTTGCATTTTTTGTACAACTGGATAATATACTAAGTAGAAATCAAATCCCATTGTCTTACTAAGTAAATTGGAAAGTAATTTCGTTTTTTCTTTATCTGCAGCAGAAGCCTCAACCAGTTAATTCATCAATTAAGTCGTTCTCCCTTTATAAATTTTTTATTAATAACAGTTTTTTTTTTAAATTTTTGATTCACGTAATAGTTTTCATTTTAACTATCAAATATCAATTGTCGAGGCCAAACGTTCAGCAATATTTAGTTTCGAAAACACAGAAATATCATCGAAGATGGAGAGAAAACAAGCCAATGAGCACAGAGAAGATATTAAGACAGAACGCCTGTGCCAAAAATAGGTCAAGAAGAGAGATATATTGCTAAGCCAAAACAATGCAACCACTCATACAAGTCACCAAAAAGTTTAATTATTTTAGAGGGATGTAAAATGCATCATCCAATACAATTTTTTAACCCGGCACTTTCATATTAATACTTGTTCTGGTTTTGGCTTATTTTTAGAAGGCAAAACCTTTACAGTAAATGAGATTGTCAAAAATACCATGGTAAGTTTTTTTTTACCAACTAGAATAGATGTTTATAATAATAGAAGCATACCACTACTAGAATTGTGGCATAGTCCTTATTAAATTAGAAATCACATCAATCGATAAAGTTACATAAAATATTATAAAATCTTCGTCTTTTTTCTAAACTCTTTCCTGAACAATACCGCACTTTCCGGAACAGTACCGGATCATAGACTGAAACTATAATTTAACATACTATAATTACAAAACTCTTCACTCTAAATATAACAATAAAATGTGTAGTTAATAGAACATAATGTTTAAATAGTTACTTGTCACTTGATCAACTATAAATAGAACAAAATTTATAGAATAAATTACGTGAGCTACTATAAATAGTGTTAGAAAAGTGCGTAGCGTAAATTTGAATAAATTATATTTCTTAAATGATAAGTATCGCTAAATACATCGTCTTATTATTTAGATATATTATTTGTCATTGGATTGATTATGTATTTTTATGTAACTTTTAGAGCTTACTTAAATTTTTTAGTTTAGGTTTGGATATCAGAACTATTCTTGGATATTATTTTTCAAATTTTGTGAATCAAAATTTTGTTCTGGAGAAAGCAATTAATGATATTAAATTATTATTTCCCTTAATTTTATTTAAAATTGCAAAATAAGATCATTATAAATTAATTAATAATAAATCAGTGCAACTTTGAATTAAAATCTTAGTCAGACAACATGTCCTACCTACCAGACCTGGCTAGTATGACAACCACTAAATAATAAAATAGCCATGTAACAGAGAACAAAACGCGTTTATATATCTTCTTCGATTTCACATTGTCAAATTAATGAAACAAAATCATAAAAATTTATCCAGTACTGTACCATGTTTCAATGACTAAATAATTATTGTGATAGATAGCTTTACACCTTTCTAAGCCATTTTTTTTTTCAATAACGTAATGTTGTTCCAAAATTGAAGAATTTTACCAAATTTGTAGTTCTGGTATAACCAAAACTACGTATTTTGAACAAATATAAGTGATGTATTATGAAATATTAATCATGATAAATACAAATTAAATATTAAAATTAATAACTATTTTCTTATATTTTAGATTTCAGCATGTTATATAAATATTAAAACTTATTTGTTTGAAACACAAACCCGTAAAACATTTTACAAGTTTGTTTGTATTGCAGTAATATGCACTGAAAAAATTATTTTAAAACTACAGTACTATATGGCAATGATGTTTGAGAGAGATCTTAATTCTGGGTAATGAAACCAAATATTTATACCATTCATATGTTAATTTTTTCATTCATATGGCAACGGCTAACCGGACATTATAGATTTTAAAATTATAGCTCTTATTGCCACACGGCTTAGTAAAAATAATCAAACAAATGATGGTTTTTATGCCAGGCTCTAAGGTATCCTGATAAAATTACTGCATTTGCTAATTTTATCACGTATTATAAAACTATATTTTATTATTAATTTTACCAAAATTCTTACAAAAGCGCTTCGGTAAGAATTACCGAGTTGAGTTTTTTTGGCTTCTCTTAGATCCAGAAACACTGTAAAGTTCACTATATAGTCGTTTTGAACACAAATTTTTTCGTAGAGTCATATTGAAATAATTTGGTTTGATATATATATATATATATANATATATATATATATATATATATATATATATATCAAACCAAAGTTGCTTTCATGCTAAGTTGCATTTTCGGAAGACGACTAATATCAGCAAAATCAAGTGTGGTGGGCGTGGTATAGCAGTACCTGTTATCTCCATAAAAGGTATATTATTTCTGAAAAATTCAATGTGGTATTGCAATGATTAAGTGCAAAATATTAGCAAGATGTCATGTGATTTCTTGGAATCGTGTACAAGCAGTTAGATGAATGAAAGCAGGATAAAATATCTCCACTGTGGTCGCAGTAATCCAGTAATCGGAGTGTCAAAAAGTGTCACCTCGAGATTAAAAAAGCTTGCCAATGGGGGAAATGCTCAACGATGGCATGTTGTTATTCGTTGCAGGACAACCGCACCTCCAGAGGAATAATTTGCATCCCCAGTAGAGAAAAGGAACAGAAATGTCATTCGCAGGCAGATAGCCGCAGAACTTGCCACAACTACTTGTACACATGGTTTTGCCGAAACCATCTCACAATGATAAAACCAAGTTGGTTTTCATGCATGGAAATCTGCTCAATGCCCTTCACTTTAACCACACCATCGTCGAGAAAGAATACGCTGGAGTTAGGAACGTATTGGTTGGGATAACCAGAGAGAGACTATCCGAAGAAGCATAATTCTCTATGACAAGTGATTGTGACTACTAGTTAGTGTGAAGAGAAAGGCGAACACGTTGTGCACAACAATAGGTTCCTGAACGTAATCAGTATGGCCCAGGAGTGCCGAAATGAGCACGCATCATGCACAATAGCTGATCACCGCTTCACATTGTTGAGCGTAGTAAAATTACATCGCAGTGGTATTGCAGAGAGATAATTCTGGATCATGCTTGTCTATTTAGGGTTGTGGTAGGTCCAAACTTTCCATTTATGGACGACAATGTGTGACTACACAGGTGGTTTAAGATATCGGGCACACCAGAAAGTAAACATATTGTCCGTATGCAATAGCCTGTGTACTCCTGGGACCTAAATATTATAGAGCTAGGAAGCTCTTAGTAGACGTGTTTCACAAACAAATGCCCTTGCCAAACTGTGCCTGAGCTAAAAACGATTTTAGAGATGAATGGATCATAATCCCCCAAAGACTTTTTGATAGTATAGTAGACAGCATAAATAAGTACATTAGTACTTGAATTATTCATAATCTTACTTAGGTGCTCATTTTTGTTTCATTCTAGCAATAAGACCCATTTTTTATGTCTGTTTGGAAATCGTCCAATGAGCATCTTTTTTATTTTATTTTTATTATTTTTCGATAAGTCTATCTTTGAAATATTTTGGATAATAATAAATACATATCACCTCTACTGAATATGTTCTTAGTTTTTTAGTTATTAGTTTTTATTCAATCAAGGTCCTTTATTAATCATTCCGAAAAACGCAACTTCCTTAGCAATTGTGAAATAGTACATATATGAAAATGAAAGATTTCATAAGTAACTTCAATCTAATTTAACTCTTTTTTTATAAATCTTTATTATTTGTTTAAATTCAAACCGAAATGGAAATAAAATAAGCAAAATATATCAAAAATGTATTATTAGAAAAAATTAAAACTGGAAATTCCAAAGTTTTTAGATTATGAAGTTTTTAAATTATATAACTTACATGTAGGAAGGTAATCAACTATAAAAAAAAATTCAATAAAATATTATTAGCTGGAATCATCAAAATAAAAATTTTTAAAGCTTATTCTAATTAAATTTTATGAAGCTTATCAGATTTTATTCTAATTAATGTTTTACTATACCAGCAATACTTACACATATTGAATGCTAAAAAATAATTAGAATTGCTTTTAGAAATAAATAAAATTTAAATTTGGATAAATGTATTTAATAGAAAACAATGAGTGCTCTAATCTTGAATGTCTAATTTTTAATGTGTTATTTAATTTTACATTTTGCTATTTTGCCTTCGATTTTTTAAACATACATTAATGTTTTAAAATGTCACTTTCAAATTAGTTAATAATTTTTTCTGAGTTTTAATTTTATTTTGGTGCATTTTTGCACTCTTCATAAAATGTTAACAGATTGATCGCTTCTAAGGTGTATGATTTCTATTAACATAATTTAATCTTATAATCGATGTATTTTTTCGCTATTATAACTATATGGTTTTAAGCTACCAATTTAAATAAATGTCAATTTCAGTATCACGATTCAAAAAATACTTAAATTGAAGCATGCATTTAACGAAACAATGATACTTTATCATATCAATTGTTTTATTTCAGAAGTGAATAATATTATTTTAATTTTGAATACACGTGTAATATCCATCTGTTACATTTAGGCTCTGACTTTGGATAATGGAACATATGTTAAAAAATAAATACAACTTATAATACGGCATAGAATTGCACAGTTATTTATAAATGCATTTTTCAGAATAGACGTTTTTATATGACACATTGAAGGTTTATTCAGCAATTAAAGGGAATAATTTAAGAATTGATTATTATTCGAGTAGACTATTAAGAGTTGATAAGAATAAAGTATATGCGTTTTAAATTTTCCGTTTCGTTAAAAAAACATTCACATTTAAATTTCAAATGAAAAAAAAATGTTTAAATATTAAAAATTTATTTGTTCATATTTTTCTAATATATGAAGTAATTGACGAGTTAACCGTTTTATGATGTTTCATATATTATTCATTAAATGTACAATATTGATCATGTTATAATCATTTAATATAAAATATAATTTCATTTTATCAACTATTTTAATGGTGATAATTCTGAGTATTTCAGTTATATACTGTATAAAAATAAAATAAAACAACATACGATTTGGCAGAGCTGAAATAACAGAGTTAGTAGAGGAAATTAATTTTTGTAAATTTTTCAAGAAAAAACATAATGCATATTTAAGCCTAACACAATACAAACTAATAAAATAAATTGTAATTGCTAAAATATATATATTTAGAACAATAAAAAAGAAACTGTATTTTTTGGCCATTTTCTTCAAATAATTTCTTATTATAAAAATATAAATTCGTAAAATGAGTAATTAATTATATCTTATATTTTTAGAAGGATTTGAAGAAGTGTTAAATTCCTTTAGAACAATACAGACTTCGTTGAGTATCACGTTATCAGAAATTATTATCATTCACCTAGATTTACCAAGTATGCTTAGCAATTTTTTTTTTGAATTTTTGAATGATTATTTTTAGTTATTCCAGTTTTTTAAATTTCAGATCACTTAATTTTATAAAGTACGAAACTAGAATTTATTTCTCATCAAACTTACTCATCGCTCAAATACTCTACAACAGAATACCTACAATGTCTTATACCAGCTTCGGAAAATAATTTTATCTCCAAAAATATATATCAGAATTCATTTATAATTCAAACACGTTTCAATGCTATTTTGTTTGGCAATATAACATCCTGATAATACATGAAAAAAACTTTCTTTAGAATACTTTACTTACTTTACTTTACTTTAGGATATTCTTTAATTCGGTATTAAATTCCACAGATAATGCAATAATAATTGCAATGGAAAATTTATAATAAATATTAAATATAGTGTTGTTTTAATGCTGGGTAAAAATTTGTCGTCATAATCCAAAGGTTCAACTTCGGTTTTTCATCGAAACGCTTCTTGGGAAAGAATAAATAACTGTACTTATGCATCATCCTCAAACTTTCCATCGCTAACTTAGGAATAAAAGACCTTGAATTTTGATTATTTGCACTTGCTATTAAAAGCAAACCTTAAAATGTATATTCTCACATTAATACAAAATACCTAAGATTTCATTATATCACGGTCTGTAAAAAAAATTTTAAAAAATGTCAAAATAGTTCAAATAAATAAGAGTGAAATTTGAAAACTCCAAATATCATTAATCATTTATCATTATTGATGTATCTATAATCAATTTTGAGCAAAATGTAGTAGCATAGTGGTAAATGTATATTCTCAAATAGGGAGAGAGTCATATGTGAGAGAGATTTTCCTTCACAGCCGCAGCATTCGATCTAAGGACGTCCTGGTTCGTAAATGAATGCATAACCAACGCAGCTGTCAGTTTAGACATCTCCAGTCCAGAGAAAGTTAGGAAGCTTTATATAGTGACCGCAACAATGACACATCATGACATACTAATTTACAACTACAATGGTACAAGAACTCGAACTTTGGAGAACACATTTTCCAACAGCTTAATTAGGAGATAGGTAATTTTAATTTCATTTTTTTTTACTGTTTTGATTTATCTTAAAAATTTTAAGAAACTGGAGTGTATGTAATGACGCATTGATGCGAGGGCTGCTTTATAAAGTTTTCCAACTCTCTTTGGTCTAGAGCAGGGATGGACAAACTACGGGCCGTGGGCCGCCAACTGTGGCCCGCCGGAAGGTTTATCAAACCCGTGGACAGAATTTTAAATTGCCGATCCGTGGCGAATATAAACAATATACATTATACATCCATTTTCTTGTCTACTTTGTTTAAAGCCATTTTTGTTCTTTCTTTTTTAACATACTGATGACCTCTTTACTTTCTCTATTTTTGTTCTACAAGACATAGATTGATGGAAATAGTTAACACAGACAGCTTCAATTGGTAAAATGTGAAAGCAGAAGTTCTTTATAGAATAGCCGTAGATTGGCCCCAACTAGTGTTTGTCTTTCTTGAGGAGCTGACATATGGAATCTAATATAGGTGAATTGTACTTCATATGAGGCAGACTAAGCATTTTTAAGTTCCAACGAGCGGATTTTTCTACCCGCTCGAGTTCTAACATTATTTACTAAGTATGGAAAGATTGCACACATACAACGTCATTGTAAATAATGGTGAAAATATTAAATGTATAAAATGGCCATCTAGGTATGCCCATCTATCAAAAGTTTGCCTATCATTTGTTGGTCTAGGGTGTACAACAATGGTGGGTAGAACATCCTACTATGACCCCCGGAAATCTTTAGTTTGAATTTTGCAGTGAGTTAAAGAATGTCTCTCTCGCACATTTTCCCTCTAAGTCACAAAATGCAAAATCTCTATGCATTTTGCTCCAAAATTAGTATATGCTGCAAATGAGGTTTTCGCTTTTAACTGTTGTTTATTTGTTTTTGACACATTTTTGCTCAATTTAGAGAAACCTTTCTTACAGTATGGTTATACCAAAATAAATTAATATTATTTTTCTTTACTTCGATATATTTCATTCAATGATTTTCCTTATTTTTATAAAATATCGTAACGTAAATAAAATTTTCTCTTATAATCTTGAAAATATATTTCAGTATATTGTCGGACAGATTCTATTCTGGAACTTAAAATGCTTGTTGAATGCAGAGAATGAATATGGTTCAAAATGCGTATTTAAGATGTTGATCATAGCTATGTAACAAAATGGACCTTGCACATGATTCCGTTATTCAAATTTCCCCATTAAAAATTGTTCTTTTCCTTAGAGAATAAACTAATAGATCCAAATAAATTCGAAATGTGATATCATTTATGAAAATATTTCAAAAGTTAAAAATGATATGAGAAATTTGTAAAAAATCCAAAACTTTATTACTTATTAAATTTTTTGAAAACTTGTTTGTTTGAAAAAGTTTATTATTTTGATATTAAATTTTCATTGTACGAATTTAGATTTTCTTAAAAACATTTATCATTTAGAGTTTTGAATGGAAAGAGATCAAATAAATAGATACATCTGTAGTATACCCATTCACCTCATAATTTTGTCACACACGGACTGTGCTTAGTGTTTAAAATTTTACTAAATTCCTCGTTTAGTTTTGAAATTAGGATTGAATATTTAAAAGGCGCCATTTTTTAAAGCACGCATTTTGAGCTGTTTCCAAAATAAAAGCTACACAGATGTATAAATATTTTGAACTTTTTGATGTTATTTTCTTACACCAATAAATTTTCTTCTGAATTCCTCGTAAATTAGTTTCAATTGTAAATTAATTTCATTAATTTTTTTCCTTGCACATTAATTTCATTACAAGTTAGTTTTTTCTTGATGAAAAATGTATTAATTTCAATTTTTTTGATAAATATCATGAACTTCTTCATTTTTTATTCTTATGCCAATAAACTTTCTTCTAAATTACTTGCAAATTAATTTCAGCATCACTAATTATGTTACACACAGTATAATTAATTATATATGTGTAATGTATAGATCTTAATATTTTTATTCTTAAGAAAAATTAATAAAAGAATCTATGAACTTACGAGCAGCTGATGATCCAACTGTAACATTAAAAAATTTTTAGAGTCGCATCGAATAATAGCAATTTGGAATTATCAATGAATTATTACAATATATTACCAACGCTGCATATGAAGATTGCGATGAAAAGACGGAACGACATTTCACTTCAGAATTTTCTTTAAAATCAAAATTAATCAAAATTTCAATGCAGGAACTACAAATCTGCTTTTCCCCGTAGCAAGTTAAAGACTGGAAATTTTACTGGTTGCATTTTTTATGACAGTAATTCTGCTTAGTTTTTAGAAATAGTACATAATTTGATGCACATCATAGTCAATAAATTAAAAATCTAATGAAAAAGGAAATAAAGCAAGCAATAAAAGATTTTATATAAATATAAATGAAAACATTATCTAATACAACTAGGAAAATAAATTAAGTACATTTTTTGGACAAAGAGAAATGAAAAATATAATTTAAATACCTTCCTGAAAAGCTTTCTTCTTCGTTTATTTCGCTACAACGAAGCTGTGTAAATAAATTTTTATCTGAATGATTGCCTTTTGTGCTTAAATTACGAAATCCGTATGTGAAATAAATAACTGTAATAACAAATGTATACATGTATGTAAAAATAAATAATATTTTATTATGAGATGGTAAATATACATGATATCAAAAATTTATTACTTTTACAGAAGTTAAATTAAAACGGAAATGAATGGCAATGTTAATATAAATAAAAATGAGTATTCTTTTTCTATATATTGATCTTTCATACACACAAAATTATAAGTTTCCCGAGTCTGCTTTTTATTTGCAATTTAAGGGCTTTCACGAATTATAATCCTAAAAAGGCAATGTTTAATTTCAATAGAATTTTTTTCTGTTTTGAAAGCCCTTTTTTTAGACATTTGCATCTAACTAGTGTTCTTTTTATTCAATATTATTATGAATTTTTTTAATATATTTCGAAAATTTAATCAAATTTTTTCTATTTTCATTCTGTTTTAAACAGAATATAGTATTATAGAGTGAATGTAAAATCTTCAGTCCTTACATTTATTTCGCGCATAAAAATTTATTTGTTAAAATCTCATTCATAAGTCAATCATCAATAATTTTCAGAGTTGTTCTTCTTTTTCCTGCATGTTAGTGAAGTGCTTACAAAATCTTGTTCTTGTAGACCAACATAAATTGGTATTGCAACCCATGAGAATGATTCCAGCAGTAAGTGAAAGTGGTATAAGTGTATATCTTAAGAAATATATACGATGAAGACCTTTATTATAATTTGTTCTGAGTGTAATTTGACTTTCTTTCCCTTTTATAAATTAATAAGTTTCGATATAACGTTTTATGCGAAAAAAGGAATGAAGTCAGAGTTTGAAAGCTGTATTCAAAAACAAATATTTATTCATTATCACTCATTCATTCACATTCTCATAAGTCATTCATCAATAATTTTCAGATTTTTTCTTTTTTTTAATAGTGTCTAGTAATTAAGATTTCATTTAATGAAGAGCATTTTACATGTTCGTTGCTATAACTAACTCATTCCAAAATAATGGTTCATAGATATGGCATATTATGCCTTAAGTTAAGAAAATATCATGGTAGTGATGTACTTATAAAATGTTGATTGTTTTTGTGAATTTGCTGTACCTAAATTGGTATTGCATAGCTTGAGAATGATTCCAACTGTAAGTGAACGTGGAATAAGTGTATATACTAGGTAATATATGATGAAGAATTTCTTTATAATTTGTGCTGTGTGCAATTTCACTTTTCTTCTCTTTTATTAATTAATAAGTTTCGTAATAACATTTCATGTGAAGAAATAACTTGTACTATTGTTGACATTTTTTGTTTATTTTCAAAGCATGGAAATCAAACTTTTAAAGCTGTATTCAAAAATACATGTTCGCTTCAGAATGAGAAAAATTACAGGCAAACTTCTAAAGTTCTGTAGACTTTTTATGGCTCTATGGGAACATCAAAATCATCGGTAATTTTTCTAAAGCTGATTGGTAATGATTTTAGTAAAATTATCAATAAAATAATATGGATTTATTAATATGTGCTACAGTATATCTAACTACTTTATTATATGTAACTACCGTATAATTTGATTTTATTAACCTGAATTATGTTTTTTTGCCAGAATAATTATACCATATTCTGCAACAGTATTGCTACCATTACTATGCTATACATGGTAATGGTACCGTATTGTACCGTTACCGTAGCGTACAGTAATTTTATGGACTTTCTTTCACAGTTCACTTTTAGAACCTTAAGACAGAAAATAGTTCGTTTCAAAAAATGTGAGCATACAAAAAATTAAATAAGTGCAAAAACAAATAGCACTAAAAATATTTAATGTTCTTAAAATTTATTTAACAAAAATGTTTGAATCATGTTTTGACTATTAATTCCCGTAATCAGAACAAGATTCTATAAATATAAGTTTTTTTTAAAAAAATACTATCATTATTATTCTCAGCCTTATCTAAGTTTAGAAACTCAAATATGCATAATAGAAATTTCAAAATGCAACTTTGCGGTACTATTCTGATTTATTCATTTATTGCTGAAATTAAATTAAACTTAAGTTATTATTTCAACTGTCAATTTTAACTTTTGCTTATTCAAACTTCATTAAAGGTGACTTTAAAGCAATATTGAGATGTTCATTTAATCTAAAATGCTTTTAAACTAAAAAGTGCGTTTTTAAACTCATGTTTTGCAGTTGTGGCATTGCTAATATAAGAAGTCCGCTTAAAAAATTTTCTGTCGTTGCAACTCTGATTAGATAGTGCCAAATCAAACAACACTAATTGCTGTATGCATTTTAGTGACTTGCTAAGATTATAAGACTACTTATTGTAAATTTTTCATTTAACCCACTGTTATGGCTTGCTATATTGATAAAGTAACTACTTTTTTATTTTCATTTAATTGTGTTTTTCAGCAAAAAAGTAATGTTCTACCTCTTCGATTGAAAAAATGTTCTGATCTAACAAATTCATCAACAAACTACTTTTTTATTGTATCAGCAAGAAGTAAATTCTCTTTCGAGAATATCACATTCATTCGTGAAATGTAAATAGACATCTTCAATATGGAAATCTAATAATTTTTATTACCTTTTTATACTCTGAAGAGAAAAAGTATGGTCTAAACAACCAGAATATTGTAAATTTTACCGTGTTTCTGGCTCTATAAGAACACCGAAACTCTCGGTGTTTTTTAGATGATATTAAAGCTTTGGTAATGATTTTAGCAAAATTAACAATAAAATATGGTTATATCATGTGTGATAAAATTTGGTAAATGTCGCGACATTTTGTAATTTTATCATTATATCTTCAAACATGGCAAGAAAAAAAGTTATTCGGTTAAATTTCTTTTCCAGTTTTGTATTTATTACAATACATGTGGTAGTAAGTACTATAACTTTGAAGACCAGAATTTTTTCCAATTAACCCTTACCATATGAATAGAAAAATAACATTTTTTAACTGAAAAGTTATAAGAATTTTTTATATTATTTTTGTCAGAAAAATTTTATCAACCAAGAAACTATATTTTTTTACTGTTTTGAAATATTGCTATTGACATTGAGCGTCATTAGTTGTTTTTAAGAGCCTTCTTTACATGTAGTTCTGATGCAATCAGAAAACTATTTTATTAACTTACGTAAATGATACACTGAAACAAGTGTGCATGCTTATCTGGTGCGTCATATCTAAAGGTAAAGCTGTGTTTTGACAAAAATGGTTTGCTTTCTTCCTTTGTATAATATTTTTATTCCAATCTGCGCATTATTTAATGTAAAAAAACGCGTATTATAATGTTCTGATAATTACTTTTGACTATACATGGTCTGGTCACAAACGGTATTCAAATGAATGCCAAATCTAAATAAGTTTTGAGTTTACGTGTAAAATAACGTAACGTAAGAAAGTAAACATCAAATATCTGTTTAATGGTTATTACTTATGTTTAATTTATTCTCTCAAAACAATAATATTAAATCTGCCTTACTCGATGTTATAAAATAATAGGTAAAAGGAACTTTCCAGAAATGATTTGCTGACATTAATTAAAATAATTAACAGATTACCCGTTAGCGGAGAAAATATTCTGGCATAATTAAAGTACAAGTATAGTAAATACATTCCTTATAAAAATACCGTAATTCTGGTGAGTTAAACTAAACATACGGTATTTAAACGAATAATTTTGTAATTTTTCCATTTGTAGAGTATTCATATTCGTTCCTTGGTAATTCTGCTTCTTAAATTTTAATTATTAATGCTATAGAGTTAGAAAGTGAAAAGTAAATTTTACTAAATAAATGGTTTTTATACTTTGCTCTGAAATAAACCAATGCAATTACCAAACTATTCTTCGGAGCTATTATTCATTTCACGATTTATTTATTAGTTTTAAACTTTTGATGTCTATGTCTTTTACCAAATGCTCTTCTTATGGCTTATTTAAAATGGAGGTTTATATAAATGGTAGATAAGAGTTATTTCACGATAACTCATTTATTTGCATTAATATGATTCTCAATTTTAACAAAGGGTGAAGTTACATGACTTATGACTTCAAATGTTTAAAAAAAATGTTTAAAAGATACTAAACTCAAGCTAAGGTGTCTTGTTAAGTTATGGTGTGCAGATTTTATAAAGATGGTGGGATTAATTTATTCAATAAACCCCACCATAAATATTACATAACTTTTATTATTTCAAAATTTTACAATGTAAAAACTAAAATTGCCGAAAAATATTCTCAACACGACTGTTTTGCGATAATAATATATTTTGTAAATTTCGGAAACTCAGAACATCCTCTTAAATCTTAAAGCCTTACGTAGTATTTTTGTTCAAAGTCCCTTTTTTGAATATATATATGGGTCATTCTCACGAAAACTGTCATTTTTCAGTTCCTAAAATCCCAAAAAAGTAAAGTGAATAAAAGTTTCTGAAACTTTTTATATTAATAGAAATATGTAATGGCATTATAAAGANCACCATAAATATTACATAACATTTAATAATTTCTAAATTTTACAATGTGAGCACTCTCATTTGCCAAAAAATATTCTCAATAACGTTTGCGATGATAATTTCACCCTTATATATTATAATATATATATATATATAAATATATATGTTTTAAAAATGTAAGAAAAGAATATAATAAACAGATAAATAAAAAGAGAGGAATGCTTATGAGCAAAAAACTTTTATAGTGAAATAATATGGCCATCAAGTTTGAAAAAAACTACCAGAATACCGGAGATACCTCAGCTTTCCCATTGCGCCTCTTGTGGATACATTGTGGATACATCAAATCATGGGGATACATTCAGCAAATGGGTTTATAAATCATTAAAGAACCGTTAAATGCCGAATTAGAAAGCGTTAACCAAATAACTTGAAATTTGTTAAATTCAATACTAAATAAAATAAAATAAAAAAATTGAACGAAGAAAAATTTACCATTGATTGTTAAAAATTTTCGTTTTTAATTATCTTCCCTTTCTTAACATAGCTGTTTTACGGGGGATCTTTTTTCCAGATGTAGTCAAGATCACTTCAGCTATGTGTCAGTATTTGTCTTCAGTCGGAACAAAATATTGATAGTTGAAACTTTTTTAAGCCTAAAAGAGCACACGTATCTCACAACATAACTCAATGAATTACTTGAAATCTAAAAGTAGAATTATTGAATTTCCAATGTATCAAAACTAGAAAATTAGGTTTTAAACTAATATTTTGACTCTAAAACTTTAAAATAAAATTTTAAATTTGATACCTAACAGATGGTTAAATTGTATCTTAAAGCCGACCGGGCTGTATAGGGTTCAGGGAACCGACTTTGCATCAGAAAGGTTCTGTGTTCTAATCCCGGACAATTCATGAATGTTCATTCATTCTATGTTCTATCTGTCTTTACTGCGGAGCAACGTTTGCTCACCTAACATGGTGCCCATGAAAGAGTGAACAACAAATCTGCCCTAATATACCTGAATTGACGAAATATAAACCCAGGTGGGAATAGGAAAAAAAATCTTTTTAAAAGACTGAAAGTACTGTAGTCGTTTTGTAAAAAATAATTTCAAGGTAAATTTTTTTGCTAACTGGATAAAAATTAGCAAATTATATCAAATTTCAAAAATTCTTTAAAAAAAAATAATTATGTAAATGGAACCGAACAAAATGCAAAATAATATAAATTTTAAATGTATGAAAAATAATGTTATACAGACTTTAATTTATTCTAAAATTCAAACTTAAAATCCATGTTCCAATTTCAGTATATCGGCATCTAAACGGTTAAAATAACTGTAATAGTCCGATCCAGTACCTCAAAATTAAGATTAAAAAATTTTGATTGATATCAAAATTTTATGTTCTTACAATATTTTCCTTGTTAGTTATAAGTTTCATTTCGCTAAGCTGAAATATAATTTGACAGAAATAGCAAATATCATTGTCAGTCACTTCTATTGGGCAGCAGGAGTCTAGTATGTGCAACAAGCTTTTATTGAGTACTTAAAAGCAACGATTATGCCCCTTTTTTCTTTTATTATTACAGAGAAATATTTCAGGATTAGAAATCATTAAAAATAATTGGAAAAGAAATAATCAATAATCATTCGATAACGTAATTAAAAATTTTACGCTTAAATATTTCCTCCATTCCTTGTACACACGAGAGTATTCTAATATTCAGAACTCCTCGATTAGTGACCCTGGACTACCGAAATACGGAACTCTTATTCACGCCTAAATGACGTAACCATAGAGCTGCTTAACAGAAAAAAGTCTAGTATTTCCCACCACTCGTAATAAATGAGATCTCCAAATAAACTATTTAATCCCCATTGCATGGTTCACTTGAGAATACTCAACCACAACTAAACTCCAATGTCAATTACCTTACAAGACACCAAACAAAACATTACTTCATTCTCCAGTTAACCATGATCCAGTTTGAGACTAATCTCTAGTTTTGAAACCATGCTGGAATAGTTACAAAATCGTTTGGTTTTGTATTCACGTTCTTTTTTCTCCATATCATTTGTAAATGATTTATAACCCGTAAAGGTAAAGAAGTGTTTCTAATCGCAAACTTTGCTGCAAATTGAATGGATTTTACCGTAATTTTCAAATGAAAACTTAAACAGCAGATTCTGTGTAATATTCAAAGGAAAATAAAATTAAAAAGTTCAATGTACTGAATGCGATGAATTTGACCAAATTTTATTTTTTTAAAAATCAAACATTCAGGTGAATCAGAAACAGTTAATAAATAAAATTTTACTAACATTTCTTTTACTCTTGTTTTAAAATAAACATTGCGCATTTATTATTTTTTAAAAAAATTGTATTTGCTCTCTAAAACTGTATCTTGATGTATTTAAATTTATAGAACAAGAAAAATTAAAACAAAAAAAGAAGCAGTTATGCAATCATTTAATAAGTTTTATTATCAGCCCATACAATCAGCATTTCACAAATTTATCAAAATCATTATTCTACTTCATTTAATTCGTCATTTATGACATGCATCAAAGTGTTTCCTTTTCGTCTCATTTGGCTGCAAGCAAAATAATTCAAGTATTACAATTTATTTCTCTAAGAATTGCTACAGAAAATTATAAATACACGAAATGATATGATATCTAATAGAACATTAGTCTGATCTATAAATATATTCGATATTTCCTTTATAGTTAATGTATATATCCCTTCAAGCATAACGTATTTTGAAACAAAATTTTGTTAGATAAAAAAATGCGTTACCCAACTAAGTATTCACTTAAGTATTCACCAATAAATTAAGTGCTTCAACCCTACTGATTTGGATAAATACAGATTTAGTATAAATAGGTTTTAATAGTTTCCGGATAATTAATTCTATAAGCAAGTTTCTAAAATTAGTTTAAAATTTTTCCATCAGCTGGAGACGCTAATATAGAAAAACATTCAAGCGATATTTTCAAAATACCTACTATTTGCAGCAGAGAATACTAAACTTGCTTACAAGCGTCTATACAAATATTTTAGTTGGATTGGTTTAAGTGGAGACAGAATAAAATGTTTGGTAGTTTTCTTTTTTCATTTAACGACACAAACGTTTGTTGAGCTTTATAACTATATTTGATCCGCGTTGGATCAAAGGATATAGCATTCGCGTTCCAATCAAGTGAACCGGGTTCCAATCCCATCGATGGCTGGTCGATACGAACTCCACATCCGGCTTGCATCGAACACAGTACTGACGTAAAATATCCTCAGTGGTAGACGGATAATGGGTTAGAGTCCCTTTATCGTCAGGTGACAGGCAGGTTTTCGTGACTTTCCTCTCCATGTAAAGCAAATGAGGGTTAGTTCCATGAAAAAGTCCTCCACGAATTCAAATTTCTCATAATTCTTGACCAAGGAATTCCCTTGTCTTCTGAATTGAGTTCCAAACTTCAAGGCTAAGGAGTTGAAGGTTAGTAGTCGTAAAGCCACAACTGGGTCGGCTGTTCAACGACGGTTTTAAAATTAAAATATAACCATTGAAAATTGGTGAGTATTGATAACTTACTATCTTACTATTCTAACGCAGAGAACCGTATATATAATTTTTTTGCCACCTTGATTTCTTAACAAAAGGTAGAAAAATTTACAATTCGATATTTAAAATTGCTATTTATTTTTTCGAAAACCAGCAGTCTAGTATATAGACCTTGGCCAAAGGATACGTGCTCTTTGTTCGCCAAGATATAGACAGTATTTTCTCTTTCAAATAACTTAAACTAAACGAGAGAATAAATCAAACTGAAAAATTAAAAATTAAACAAAATAGTGCCTGCAAATAACGCCATTTATAAAAAAAAAAATTCAACTACAAAGGTGGCTAGAAATGGAAATTCCTTTCGTGAATTTGATTGGATGATTTATCCAAATTCTGTTAAAAAGTGCATGTAAATATACAGTTTGGATAAATAAAAGTTTTATTTAAACAATAAGTACTGTTTTACTTGTAAAACTTAGTAAAAAATTGCTCATCTCATAACCTGAGCCAATTTTCCTAATATAAGAGCCTTATTAAACTAAGTAGTTATAATATTTTTATTAGATTTTTTTTTTAAATTCGCTACAACGTTAACTATTGATAGAAAATACTTTTTTAAAAACTCTTGGCATACTTTCTTCATTAAAAAAATTCATAAATTTTATATTGATAATAAGAACATATTTAAAAAAAAATCTGTAACTAGATTATTTACGAAAACTTTCTAGTTTCCAGCTTTGCTTATTTGTTTCTAAACAAAGTAATATTCCGGATACCTCAGAAAATTATTGTAGAATTTAAATTGGGTGTGTTCCAGATCATAACAGAAATGCGATAATGAAAAGGAATTAATTAACTACAACCCAAATTATACGTTTTATGACTTAAAAGTTATAATTACTACAAGTTATTCAAATTGGTGCAAAAATTATCTTAATCAAGTTCTCATGATTGAATTTCTTTTAATAACAAATTTTTTATTTCATTTTTTTCTTAAAACATATTTTTGAACCTGCACAAAAGTGTATTCTCTTTCTCTTCTTTGATGGTATGACTGTCCAGGGAGGGCCCTAGACTTCGCAAGAATTTTCTGTCTGGTCAGTCTTTTATTGGCTTTGATCTTCTACTTATTCACTAACAGAATGAAAATATTTCTATTTAGGTGGTGGACCCATCTAATGTTGGGTCGAACCTTAGCTCTCATACCAGTAGGCTTTCTGCCAAAACATCTATTGTGATCATACTAATAACGTTTGTTCATACAAATAACGTAGACGACAGCCCCATTTACTTTTTTGGATATTTGTGTTGATGATGTCAGGTTCGTTGAAAGCACGTAGATTTGAGCGTATGTGCCATGCATTTTTGTTCCGTAAATAATAGCTCTAATGTATTGACCGCTCGAATCATTTAAGAGCGTTTTTTTACTATTGAGCCATTGTCCGTATTTCTGATGAGTAGATGAGTATGGGTATAATAATACACTTATGAATTAATAGTTTAGTTTTCCTTTTCACTAGGTTTGATTTTAAATATTTCTTTTATCGTAAAAGTTTGTATCAGCAGTAACGATTCTCTTCTGTATTTCAGATTTGATATTGTTGTAAATATAACTTTTGTCATAAATGCCTTATTTTTGCTATGTAAGGATTTCAAGTTTATACATAGCTATTTACAGAGGATTAGTGATGTCTATTTTCTAGGTTCACAGCATGCATTTAATTTTGATTAGTAAAATGCATTTTACCAGCATTCCTCTCCAAGTCTAAAAATGCCTGTTTCAGATTAGAAGAAGAGACCCTGTCTAAAACGTCAGTAAATGCAAACATTTGTACAAATTAACGAAATATATTTCCCCTGGTGTTTATCTTTGTGTAACGAGAGACCTTCTATTAGTTTTCGATTTATGCTTTCATAAGCAGTTTTGAAATATACGAAGAGGTGGTGTGTTCCAATTCCACATTCTTTGGTTTTTTTCTAGATTTGGAATTTAACTATTTGTTAAGTTTCAGATCTTCGTTTTGTGAACCAGCATTGATAATCTCCAAAGGAGTTTTCCACATGAGTAGAGAGTCTCTCAAACGAAATATTTTGAAATGCATTATATGTCGTACAGAATAGATTAATTCCTATTGGAACATGTACGAATTTCTTCTTTTTTGTGCATGAGACAGATTGTGTTAAGTTTCCATTCAACTGGAAGTGCCTCATTTTCTCATACTAATGAAGGAATATAGTGTACTTTTTTCACTTCATCTGTTACCTAGTTTTTGATGAATTATGTCGTTGCACGGTTTGAGCAAAGGGCTTTTTATTTCCCTTTTTAAGTCAATTAATGTGGAATAACAAAAAGCTAATTACTTACATAAATATCAAACTATTTTCTGAACAATATAACTTACCAGGAGTTGTTTCATCTATTTAAAAAAATGTAACTGTTTTTTAGAATGATTCTAATTTTGAATATAAATTAGTTGGTTCCTTCAACTTGTATAGTGTGTGAGTATACACTTTAAAACCAAATACCAAGCTAAACCAATATACGAAAAGAAAGAGAAATATCGAAGAATAGTTTGGAATATTCGAAGAATAGTTTGGTAGAATTTTTTGTATAAATTATTTATTTTTATCTCATAAAACATCTTAAAATCACAAAATAATTTTGATTTAGTGTTACTTGATTTCGTATAACGCGAAAGAAGAATTAAAACTGTTTCGATCGAAGTTTTTGAGTCACACATTTCCCTTGCGTATCTTGCAATTAATTACATGTGTTACTAAAATCATAATCGTAGATATCTTGCTTTGCAAATATTTCATTTTGTTTTAAGAATAGTAAATTTACGGAAGATAGCTTTGTTATATTTGTTTTTTAATGCAGATTTTTATATACAATGTTTGTTATAACTAACTTTGTTTTTATTAAAATAATAACCAACAAATAGCAAAAAATTATATTTTTACGATATATCATTTTTTCAAACTTATATTTGATAGCTTTAATCTTGTTTTGCATGTTTTTTTTTCTTTCACGAATTCTTTTTACTACTGAAATTACAAAAGAATATTGTAAGATAAAGAATTCCGTAAACGCATTTTTAAAACCTTTTCAGTAAATAAATGCATTTTAAAAAATATCTATTTTTAAGAAAATATAGTTTTTCATATTAGTTCAATTATACACATATAATGTTATAAAAAAATTTTCAATAAAAATAAAAGAAAATAATTGCGTTTACTTTGTTATTTGAATTAATACATTAAATTTATTGTCAGCATAAATTAATACGCAATATATTCTATTAAAATTATTCATTAATGTCTATCCACTGACAAATTTTATGAAACTTACAACTCAAGACGTTGGAAATCGTTTTAAGTAGTTTTAAATTATTCCAAAGAATTAAAATAATGCTTCCAAAAAATGATACTTCTAAACTGGAAAAGCAGCTCACATTACGTTTACATATTTGAATCAAAGTTTTCTAATTCTTGATGTTCATATGTTTTTTTATCCATTTTTTTTAAGTGTTCGATTTATAAAATCCTTCATTATATAAATAATTTAATTCAAATTGTTATGAGACAAAGAGCCATTTTTATTCATTCATGTATTAATAAGTATTATAAACCAACTAATTCGGAAATTAATATTTTTTCTTAGATTTGTCAACTTCATAGCAAAATAACTATTTAAACTTTGCATTGTTAGAATTTACTTACGTAGAATGTCTAAAAATAAATAAAATTATTGCACATTTAAACAAATTATTTTAATGATCTATGTATCAGTAATTTGAAAACAAATTTAAAATATAATAGCTATTGATATCTAAACCTTGGCTGCAGTTCGTAAACTACGACATATTATTTCATAAATTGCACTTTAAAAACATTCAGGATATAAGTGTCTGTTGACATTCAATTACAGGTTGAGTTATTAGGTTGCTATATTTTTAAAATTATTTTTCAAAGGTTTTGATAATAATAAAACGAGAAAAAAAAATTCACAGTAAAGTTTTAACGGTATTATAATTCTCAAATCTGAATCTTTAAAAAAATATTGTATCTTAAAAGTAATGAAAAGATTCCGTAATTGTTTTCTCAGCGAATTAAATTTTTTAATTATTTTTTTCTTCTAGGTAAGTAACTGTTTTCTTTTGGTTTCAACTTAGATTTCATATTTTTATTTTTGATCACTGTTAGTTGCACGTTTTTTTTATTATTTATTCATAGAATTCAAAAGATTATCTATCGTAAAATTCACTGTTGAAGCTACACTTAGGGTTCCATAATTAATTTTGAGAGTTTCGAACAAACTGTAATGAAAATTCTTTTAATTCAAAGAAAGTCATTGTAAGAATATATTTAATCAAAATAAAAGATTTTAAAACTTTAAAATTGTATATTGTTGTAGTCTTGATATTCAAATATCTTTTCTGAAATAATGAAAGAAGTTTTTTTAAATTACAATTCTACACAGTATAAGATTTAACTTTTCTTTATATTTTGTTAAAAAAAAAACTATAGCAATAAAATGAAATCAAAACTATAAAATACTAACAACAATTTTTCTAATTCTCTTTCGTAAGTTTATATAGTGCGTATGCCTGTATATAAAGTGAACTATACCTTTAAAAATTATGCACTTAAATTCTTGAATTTTTTTTTTAATTTCCGAAAGCCTTTAATTAATGATTTTGGAATTTGTAATTATAATTCATAGTTAATGAAATTTGAAAAACAATATGCTAGTTTGTTTAATTGCTATCTAATTCCATTTGACTTACTCATGCACCTTATTAAGTGCATATCAATCTATATAAATATTCAAATTCATGTTTTTCTTACCAACATCAAAATCTAAATAAAATATAAGCATAAATGTGCTTCAACATTTCAATATCCATAATAGAGAAATTGAGAATAGAGTAACTGCAGCATTATATAACATACAACATCATATAATATATAATATCTTATAATACCATAGATAATGAACAGTAATTGTGATTTCGTACATCTATTGCCAGAAAATATACGCACTATATAATATTTAGTAGTATTGTTTCCAAAAGCATCAGTTAAAACATCATATAATTATGCTGAATTAACAAATATGTCTTGTCTTATAACTAACAGTTATAGCAATTAATATTTGATTAAATTTCCTAACTTTATAAATAAAGTTAAGAGTTTCAACTATAATGGAATTTAAATTCATTACCAATTTACCAATTTACCGTAATTTTTCAGTCCAATTTACCGTAATCATTCAGTCAAATTTACCGTAATTTTTACGGTAACATTTATTGAATTAAAATGATTAAATTTTTACAGTAATATATAGTTAAAAACTGAAATTTTTAAAGTAATATTTAATGTAAAATAGCTGATTCACCTTAATCAAATAAATATTACTCTTAAAATTATGGTATAAAATTTCACAATAAAAGGGATTCTAGGAAGCGTGGCAGTATTTATACCGTAATATATTCCAGAATCACTTACAATGTATAGAAGAAATGCTGTTTAAGTATAAATTTATTAAAATTTAATGATTTTCTTTTCTTTATGAAATCAATTCATTATTTTCTTATGTCTGTATGCATTGTAAGAAAAGATTTTTACATTTAATTTAACCATATCGTGCATTTTTTTGTAAAAGCATTCCATCATTACATTATTAAACGCATTTAAAAAATTTTCAGCTCCACAATTCTCTTATAAAAACCATTATATTAACCATTTTGTAAAAACCATTAACTGCAAAAATTTTACTTGTGAATCTACTGTAAATTACTTATCAGGAGTCTCGTGTAAAATACATACAAGAAAAGAACTAGATTCACCGGAGACTCAGCAATTTAACAGTAAGTAAAACAAGTATAGTATGTAAGACTCAGATAAATAACGGAAGTAAAACTCTTTAAATGAATCCCCAGTTCTGAGACATTAAGACTTTTCCTACTCTGAAGCCGCCAGGGACATTACATTTGAGTGAAATCCAAACCACTAAGATACAATTGGAGAAAGTGCTAATTAATCAAACATCCTGTTTTTAGCACAGTCCAGGGATGGGCGATATTTCTAACCATCATATAGAAAGTGGCTTCTACTTATGTACGAAATAATTAATAACATATTTTAATATTTAAAAGAAAGTCCATTTAAGAAAACTTTTAGAAAAAACTCTGTATTTTATCTAACTATGTTAGCGAGAAATTCAGTTATGTGGGTACGAAAAAGAACTAAAAAATTTGTCAGACACATTTGTTATTATAGTTGTTTTTTGAAGGAACTATTACAGTGCTAAGCTTTTCAAATGTACCTTACTGTGATAATATATTTATGATCATACACAAATATAATAAAATTTTCCATTCTTAAAAAACCAATATAAATTTCCTATATATTTAATAAAAATGCGTTATAAGTGTTATAAGATCATAATAACTTTTTCCAATTCTTTTTTCAAATATTTAAAACTTTACTGCAATCACTAAGTTATCAACATAAATAAACTTACCCTTTCTGAGATCTTTAAAAAAAATAGTTTATTGGTAAATTTAAAAAAAAATATTATTTGGATGATTCCTTTAATTTAACGAGCATTCTATATTCAAAAGAATATGAATTCAAATCAAGATTATACATCGCTATGAAATATGAAATGTTTATTTTATTATTGCAGAAATAAAATATTTGCAATGCACAAAATAGTTCTTCAACTAAGATTAAATATATATTTTTTTTAAATTGCTTAAAAATAAGATTAAAATAGTATTTTTAAAATTTTTTAATGCAGATTAAATGATATAAGAAACACATTTGACGATATAAGACACATAATTGATTTGAATATAATAAAATATCAATTCTTACTTAAGAACAATTTCTAATTAATTCAAATTCAATAATTCAAAATAAATAAAAAAATATATAATAAGATAGTAGCAGGTGTTTGTTTGGGCTAAAAGAAAAATGAATAATTCTTGACTACTGATTCACTACTGATGAATGTGAGTCTGAGGAAAACAATACTTTTTGAAATTTCCAAATTTCATCTGCCAATCAAATCTGCCTTAACTGTTAACTACGTTATTAACAGAACACCATATTAATATTTAGGCTATAATCAAATTTTTATTTACAATTATTTTAACATATTAGGAACCAAAACTCTCGACATGGGAGCAACTACTCTTTATGCTTCCCCTCCATTACATAATTTAAATGCTAATAAATGGGTACTAAATATAAGCTATGACACTCTCATATATAATTTTTTGTAGAAAGAAAAATATGTATTAAGTCTTCAAAAAAGATATAATGGAATCATGCGAAGACTTCGTATGCATATACTATGTATATATGTCACGGCGAAAGACCGAAATTGGTGGTTGTTAACTTTCTCCGGTGAATGTCGACAAATACCAAATACGTCGGTGAAAGATCGAATATTTCATTACATTCTTGCACATTCGGACCCTCACCGGTGTATGTCGACAATCACAGACATGCTTTGGTGAATGTCCGAAATATTTATTACATTCTATTTGATATGAGTTTATTCGTGGGCATAATTACATTTATTCGGTATTTTTACCCTACACTGATGTTTTTTTAAGGTAAAGTGTCCATGCCCGGTATACATTTGCCCGGTATACCCTACACTGATGTTTCTTCTAATCTGTCGTCAGTAAGTATTAAAATATAGAATAAATATAAATATATCAAATAAATATAATAATAATGACGAATAGATTAATATAAAATTGGATATAACAAATATTTCGGACATTCACCGAAGCGACTACGTGAATGTTGACATTCATCGGTAAATGCCGTCGTTCTCCAGATTTCGGTGGTTCACCGTAACATATATATTTCTATTATATGTATCATGCGAAAATTGTGTGACTTTTTTTTAGCTCAATTCTTGAAAAATATTCATTACTATAATTGTATAAAATCTTTAGAAGTTAGTCGCCTCTTAAAACCTGGTAAAATTTGAATAAAATATTATTTCAAGTAGTTGAAAACAACTTCTATGATCGTCAATCCTGATGGGGGATCTTTGGCCGGAAGCATGCATTTTAAATTAAGCTGACTAAGTTCTTAGTGCAAAATCTTTTATTCTGCTTTGTGTGCTCATTAGTCAATATGATAATTCTAAAAAAAATTTTAAAAAAATGTTGCCATTTTCTATTGTTGTATCTTATGAGCAAGTAACACCGTGCATTCTTAGTACTTTTAATTTATATATCTGGCATGAACTATACCTAAAACTTGCTCACTCCTGCTTTTATATTTTATATATATTATCAAATTAAGTTAAATAACGAATTGTAAGTACATTGCAAAATAAAATTGTTTTAAATATACTTACCATGAAGAAATTCTAAAAAACAAAAAACAATATGTTTGAATTCGGAAAACTGTCTCTTTTTCTGTCATTATGTTTTGAGCAAGAATAAATCATGATATTCACTCTTATTTTGAATTTTATTTCTTCTACGCTATAACAAAATAATAATTTACAGTTGACTTTTAACACTGATATAAAAGATCCTATAAATTTATTAAAATAAAGCTTACGTTTCTTACACTTCTTTCGTTTTGCTCGTCAAAATCTACAGTAACTTTTGGTATAATCTTAAAATTGCCAATAAGATTTCCAAATACTAAAATAAAGCACGAGTCTTAAGGTCATCCATTGCTTATTTCTAAAATCTATTATTTTCCGCCAACTGGAATTACTTTGACAACAGGAATAACTTCAGCTATTTTCTGCAATATAGATTAGGGGGCAATAAATAGTTAATCTATCGCCTTTGAAATGTATTCAGGGATATTCATTGATAGTTTATTTAAGTGAAAATATTTACAAGTAGATAAATACATTGAACACAGCCAACAATTTCAGTACCTTAGTTATTTAGATCAGTAAAATCCATATTAATAGCGTTTAAGTTTTTTTTATATATTATTTATAGTATTTATATAATTTATATCTATGCAATTTATATTCATGATATATAATAAACATTAGAGAGAAGATTTTTCATAGCTCATTGATCATTAAATTTTTTTTTGTTCGCAATGTTACCCGATAATCTATAGGAAAATTCGAATTACATTTTCCAAACTATTGAAAACTATTACTATGTGATACAGGCTTGAGCACTGACAATCTACATATGTCTTTTACATTTCTGGTCAGAAAAAGGATATTAATGGCGCAATATGATAAAATTGATGAAAAACTGGAATTTCACTTGCAAGTAAGAGCTTATCAGTGGTTGTGAAAACTATCGGGAAATTACTGAAGAATCGAGATTAGATGTTTATTTTTTTCACATTTGTGTCCTTTTGAATTATGTTCTTTTTGAATGACCAAAAACAAAGTAACGTAATCTACTTCACTTAATAAGTCTATGAATATGGTTTTCCTTGAAAAAAAATTTTTTTAAAGTTACTTACCATCAAATTTAAAGAAAAAAGGAACTGTAAGAAATATTTTCCACAATTACAATCAGTAATACATCTGATTTTAAACAATATCAATTAGAACATCGTAGAGCTAAATATATAAAAAAATTTAAATGACTGAAATAACAATTAAGAGAATTAAATGTATATTGCATACGCTTATACCAAATGCTTCTAGAGAATTTTATTGAAACTATCAAGCAAACGTCTGGAGTTTTCAAAACAGATTCTCAAAGATGCAATTTGTAATTTTGAAGTAATTTGTAAATTTGATCTGTACTATGATGTAAGATTAGAGAACATACTTTATCAGTCAGTTATTTTATTTCAAATTTTAAGAGGGATTCAAGTAAAAGTTAAGTGTTTTTT